TATATATTAAGAAGTTTATTTTATATATATAAATATAAATAAAATTTTTAAATTCTAAAAAATTTTATAATTACTAACTTTTTATATATAAATATTATATAAAATTACTAATTTTTTATATAATAAACTAATTTAAATAAGTAATTTTTTTGAGGTATGGTGACTTAGTAAAATGAATAAGTTGTTAACTCTCTAAGTGGTAGATAGTAGGTTCAAAACCCACCAATAGTAAAAATTTAGATAATTACTTATATAATATATAGACAGCATTATGATAATGACATTCTGTTAATCAGTTAGAATAAAATATTTATAACACAGTTGCACTAGCATAACTGGCAGGTTATGAGCATTTATGCAATATTGAAGTTATATAGAGAAATGCAAACTAGCATCAGATAGTGCAAATTTAAGATAAGTCTTCATGGCTATATAAATCTGTAAATTGAGAAGCTATAGCCCACTTGAAAAGATCTAAATAAAAAGATAACACAGATCTTTGACAATATCTCTGTAAAGACTAGGCCTAGAAAATAGAAACTAATATAGAAGGAATCAGGTAAACAAGAACTTTAGATAAGAGTACTATCATTTAGGCTATTAGAAGTCTTAAATTAGAGAAAAAAGATCTTGAAGACAGATTCTAGAATACCAGGAACAGGTTATAATTCTTCTAGGCTATTTGGATTGAAAATTTGAGATCAAAAGCAGAAGTATATTATAATTACTAAGGATATGCTATGAAGTTGATGCTAGAGTCTGAGTAAACTCTGCAAGAGTAAGCTCTATTAACAAAAAAACTAAATATTAGTAGTTAGTTAGCAAAGGAATCCTCTGGAACTCTACAGTTAGATGATGTACTTTGAAATATGTAATGGCTTAACAGATATACAGACAGAAAAGTCAAACTTAGATTAGATAACACTTTAGAATATAAGAACTTATATGCTATTTGTCAATATAAGTATAGAGATCAGAGTATTTAAATAGGTAATCTTCTAGTAAATTGCAGATATGACAGCTGATATAGAACCTGCTATGCAAACAGACTACTTAAAATAAACAACCAAAAGTTGTATATATAATTAGTTGTAAACTTAACTTGTACAAGTTATATAATCATAATTAAAATACAATAAATGCAATAGGTATTAATAACTATGATCTTAGCAAAAGCAAAAAAAAAAAAGTAATTTTCTTTTTATTATAACTTTTTTTTTATATAATAATTATAGTTAAAATTTTGTTATTTTATATTCCAAGATTATACTAAGTTATTTGTATAGTAATACAAAAATATACTCAATTATGATTAGTTAATTTAGAAATCTATTAAAAAATTTTAATTTTTTAATTTTTTTTAAAAAAAATTAACCAACTTTGAGATTTTTTTAAACAATATGTAATCAAAAATTAATTTAATTTTTTTTATAAATATATTCTATAAATCTTCAAATATCAAATATATTTATTTAATTACAAGTTAATATGTAAAACTTTATATAATTACATTTTAATTCAAATATATCAAGTTGGTGTATCACACTTAATAAGATGACCAATAGTAAAATATAATAATAAAAAATATATATAATTCTGTAATCATATATAAAATTTTTATTTCTTTGACACAGGTTATAAAATATCTCAACTAATCTCATATTAGTTAATCATCAATACTACATTAGCATAAGTTGTACGTTAAATTGGCACCAATATAACGATAATGGTATATGTCCAAGTATAAAACTAAATTCTACGAGGGTGGTTTAGCACGTTGGATACAGCAATCGAATCTGTAGTATTAATACAAATGAGCATTTTTACAACCAACCAAAAAAAATTGATTCTCAAAAAATAGTTAATAACGTTATTCAAATTTATTTAAAAAAAAAAAAAAAATTATATAATTCTTGTTTACAATAGTTTAAATTATTTTTAATAACACTGTACTGATATATACTTAAATATAGTATGTTTGATCGGTCATTAACCAGTCAAGATTATTTTGAACCAATCAAACTTCTATAATACCTTCTGAATAGAAAAGAAATTGATTAATACAAAAAACCCTCTCCCCCAAAAAATACAAATAAATAATGAACAAGTGAATTAGTTTATGTTTCTTATAATATTTAATCCGTTATTTCATCTTTTTCAATTGTTTCGAATTCAAGAGCCTCTTCCATATTAGATTCATTTGATTCATCATAAGTTACCATGACTGTACTTTCTTGATCTGTACTTTCTTGCTCTACACTTTCTTGTTCCACAATTTCTTGTTCAACACTTTCTTGCTCAGCACACACTAACTCAGCACTCTCATGCTCCTCCAATTCAATACTCTCATGTTCAGCATTTTCTTGTTCTGTATTCTCCTGTTCTTCAGTTTCTTGTTCTGTATTCTCTTGCTCTTCTTAATAAATTAGTTCAAGATTTATGATTTTTAGTTTTCAGGAAAAAAATTAAATTATTTATTATAACATGGAGATCATACCATCTTGATCTTCATCGTAATCCTCGAATTCTTCATCATCATCCGGTACTTTAATATCCTCTGGTTTTAAATCGAACGATAGTTCTAATGAGGAATCAGTTGTTAGTCCCTGCTCAAGAACTGACTCAGCAAATGAACGATATATTTCTTCAGTGGATTCTTTGGTATGGTTGGATACAGGTGTTTCTTCAACAGTTTTTTGGGCGACTTTGTTGTAGAAATAAAAGAAAAACATTTAATTGCCATATTATTAATGAATGAGAAATAAAAGAAATTATTCAATAAGCAATTGGAATGATTTTCTACATACCTTTTACAACTATTTCCTCAGGTGGGGGAACACTAACAATGGCATCGATATCTTCTTCCTCGTCGTCTTCAGTTGACGGCGCCGAATAATTTAGCGGTGAAGGCAACAAGCTTCGACGAAACGAGTTCTTTACCACTTTACGAGGGGTTTTAATTTCAGCATTAGGTTCAGGAACGTTATCCCTGGTCTCATCATCAACGGTTTCCTCCTGTAAATGTTTCTGTGTACGTTCCTTGTGTAATTGATCGGCCTTTTCAATGAGACGGGCAACCGCAGGGTCAGTTTTCTGACGTCTATGAGCAGCAGCTAGTCATTGAATAAAAATGTTCCGCCAGAATAGATGAAATCAATTTAAAAACTTCGCGTTTAACTAGAAAATTTCAAATGTTTAACGTGACATTAAAATGGAATAACACCTTTATTTATTTTTTAAACTTACATATGGCAGCTCTTTCTTTTAACCAATTATTTGAGCCGGCATCGTCAGCGATTTTTGTTTTGGTGGTTGCCATGATTAATGGATTTAGAAAGCTGGTAAACTTTTTTTTCATTCACAGCTCAGGCTGAGTTTTAAATTCGCACGACATATTCGTGCACCTCGTCACGGTATCACGTCACTGTCACGTTACCAAGACCTGAAATTGGAACATGAACAAAGAATTTTGCAACGCATGTGTAGTCACATATCAAATCAAACTACATGTGAAACAAAATTCCGGGAATTAAAGATATGAATTGATAATTCTTGTGCTTCTAAAATGTATAATTATTTATATTTCGCGAATTAACGAAATAAAGGTTTAATGTTTAGCACAGTAGATTGCTAAACCAACATCCAATCCATCAGGGTATGTAATAATCACAGGAGTCAGGAGTTTGATCAGCTTCTCTGATCACTAAATGGAGTATCTTCCGATGATTATTTGTTATACTAATTTATATTTTTAAAGTTAATGCTTTTTAATAAAAAAAAAATGTTAACAAAAATTGCAAAGCTTTTTAGCTCATGCTAAATTGTTGAAGTGCATTTTGGCGCATTCAAATTACCTTGTTAGTGCATTTACAAGCACCCTTAAGATAATATAACTTTGCCAATAAAGTAGATAACAAAATTTGTTTAGAAGATATAAATTTTTATTTATTATACAGTATATATATAATATGTAATAATACTGTACGTAATTTTACTATCTTATCTGCTTAAGCTAGCCTCTCATATTCACAGATACGAAATACTTTCTTCTAAGAACAACGATAAGATACGTACACCCTTAAGGATATTACATAATATTTTGTAACTCCCACAAGAATCAAAAACAATGGTTTTGCGGTGTAACCATTTCTTATACCAGGAATAGAGGTTGGATCCGGATTCGGCCTTTGGATTTAAATTCGATTTCTTTCGGATTCGGATATAAATCCAATCTATCGAATTTGCAATAAATATACAAACGTATAGAGATAAAATAGTTTTTGTTTTTAGGTGATCGAATGTTTTGTCACAGAGTGTATGTATGCATGTATGTACAATAACGATAATGCTATTTAATTTGGCATTTAATTTTACTATCGTTATTTTGAATTTGACCAATAACGATAAAGCAATTGTTGGACTTAGATTTAACGATTCGAATTGCTGATCTAACCGGAACCGGAATGTCCAAATTTTCCCCGGATCCGTGCTTTGTTTAATCGTTATCGTTATCGTTATCGTTATGTACTAAAAAGCATGGGTTGATTGGTTGATAGTCATGTGATCGTGTCAAGTTTTACGATCTTGAAATTCCAGACCTAATTCCAGACCTTTAATCTTTATATTTCTGTCATGTCAGTACAAACACTCGATCACTCTATGCAAGTTTCAATTCATAATTGAACTTAATTATCCTTTTTTTTGTCTAGTCAAATATAATTTTTTAAAGCAAATTTTCTTTGTTATTCAGGATCCTTACTATCCCCTTTCCAACTCCACGCCTTGCGACTATAGCACAATCAGTCTTAAATGTTGATAAAGAGCTAAAAAGTGATCAAGTTAAAAGAATTATTAGTACAAATGATACTAATCTTATCGTGTAAGTACACCATTGTTTATTTATCAACTTTAAGTCATATTAAAGTTTTTTTTTTTAATTTATAGGCAGTTTAACTGTTCAAGTGTAAAGATGTTACGAGTTTCCGTAAACTCTTTGTTAGAAATGTTAATTATGGTAACTAAAACTATTGACGCTTTCGACGGAATGGAATGAAAAAGTTTTTGTCAGAAACTACCCGAATGTGATATGTCGAATCACTTTTATTATAAAATAAAGAATTCAAACCAAAATTCTACCGCGTATTTAAGTTACCTCTTACGCAAGGCAAAAAATATTTGTTCATTTCCTTGCCATGCAGCCTATTGTTTCAAGCATCTTTTTTGATGCTCATTTAAATCAAAAACGATATTTTTGAATGGCTGGAAAATGAATAGGTATTTTTTCCCCTGTTCCTATGCTAAATCTGCTATCAGGCATTTGGTTGCATCAATAAAGTTTTTTATAGGTAAAGCTAATTTCCAATCCACATGTCCAGCACCAAGATAAAATACAGCGGGTTTCAATTCAATTATAGATTTGGCAATAATTATTGGGAGTTCTTGATTCATACCTAATATTGAAACAAACAAATTAAAAAATAGTAACATAGGAATATAGTTGATTAATAATGACTCACCAATAGGCGATACCCCATTATTTTCAAATCCAGTCAATTCAATCGATTTCTAAATGATGATTATATAATCAATATATTATATATAAATTTGAATTTTAAATTTTGAAAGTACCTCTGAGTCTGCGACGCGAAAATTATAATTCTTTTTGCTAATGGATTTGTTCTTTAAGCCACGAACAAAATTCATTAATTTTTGAGTATTAATGGATCCAATATACTATTAAAATATTCCAATCTTTATTAATGATTATCTGAGAATTTGAATGAATAAAAAATGCAATTATTCACCTGAACAATTACACAATAATATTTTGAATTTAACGGATCTGTAATATGTTAAAGAATGAGCCTAGGATATTCTTCATTTATTCTATCAATTTTCTATGCATTCCATACCATCAATATTATCGTGTATGCATCTTGTATTCTCAAATATGACACTTTTACAAAGATGATCAATCGATGGCGCAACTAATCGAAACCTGCAAAAAGAATAATGGTTATTTAAGCTAATTAGTGAATTGACTCGACAAAAAAATCATTGCTCGATCATTGACCAAAAAAATTTTGCTTAATCAATTATGTAAGCTTGATCGTAATTTATAATATCGTACTAAAAAAAAAAATTTTAAAAATAATAATGTATTCTATGAACTTTTCTCGATTGACCAAACATAATCGATTAATAGCTTGATTATTGATTCAACAATCGATCATGATATAGTCGAGTCAATTCTAATGTTGTTAGTCGAAATTGGTTTAAGTTATGTAGAAATATTTCGACTTTCGACATTCAGCATATCAAAATTCTAAATTAATGTCGAAATTCTAAAATAGCGATAGTGTCTAAATGTCTAAATAGTATCTAAATGTCTAAGTATCGAAATGTCGTCAAATTAAATTTATATAAATATTGCGGATAGTAACTGATTTTTTCATCGGCTCTTATTATACTTCTATACCGATACTATCTTTTAAAATTAAAGTTACGCATTTATTAAAGTGCTTCTTCCAGTTGTTTTGTTTTTCGTTAATAACTCAAATAGCTTAAAAAATTCGCATCATTAAAAAGATACATAGCTAAAAAGAAATATAAAGAAGACTCAAGATCAGCCCAAATCTGAGATCCAGATAATAAGCGCGAAAAAAATGGTATAAAAGTATAAATAAGAACCGAGGAATAATCATTATAAAAATTTTATTTTTAAAAATACTGTAAAACCTCCATAAGTGCACCCTCTGTAAGTGCATACTCTCTCTAAATGCACGCCCAAATATATATACATGACCTCCATGTATGCACTTTTTCTCATTGCTCTCCAAGTGCATGTTGTTAAAGTTCGGTTCCAAGAACGTACATTTATGGAGGTTTTACTGTATACTTATATTTAGACATTTAGTCATAATATAATATTTACTTCGTCAAAACATTTAGACATTTAGTCAAATTTAGAATTTTGGTATTTCGACAAAAAATAATGCTTTGTCGAAATATATTTAGACACTTATGTGTCTAAATATTTGACTTAACAATGTATTTCGGCTAACAATACTAGTCAATTCATTAAAACTAATCATCGGTCACTATTTCTAACTTTAATTTTTACTCACGCGCGTCTCTGAAGTTCCCATTCATAATAATCTCCTTCTACTTTATAAAATCTTAAAACATTTCTTATACCTAATTCATTGCATGCTTTTTCGACCTATTCCATTTAAAACGAATTATTATTTCAAAAACCAAAAAGCTTAAAACAATACAATCTTAAAATACTTTTTGGACGACTTCTGGTGCATTCTCATCTAATTTAGCATTCCTAGCTTTACGCATAAAATATTCCACGTAAAAAGGTTCAAGTTTCGGTGAAGAATAAAGTGCTGATATTTGCTTTGTTAATAATTGTAGCGTATCTTCCATTAATTATCATTAATTGCATTAACGTTAACTGTCTGCGACGATGCTGAGAATTTGAATTATATTTGATATAAAATTTTAAAAAATTTTGAAAAGTCTTTTTTATATCTTTTTTTTTTTTGAATTAGAGGGTTAGAGTCGATTAATAAAAAAGTACATGTGGATTTTAGTAGGCTTATATTTTTAAATTGAGACCCCAAATCTCAGCATCATCTCCGACATTAATTACCATTACAGTGAAATCTTCATAAATGCACCCTCTGTAAGTGCATACCAGAGTCATCGGATTTTTCTAGCAGCTAAAATAGCACTGCGTAGCGATATTACGACAACCACATATGGGAACACCCATAGCAAAAAGGGGGATGGGACTATATAATATATAGTCCCATCCCCCCTTTTGCTATGGGTGTCCCATATCCAAATCCAACCAAAATTGGTTTATTTTAACGTTAATTCTACATGTCTATAGATTACAAAATAAAAAAAAAATTTTACCGAGTTTAGTTTGATTGTTTTTCGTGATATTGCTTGTGCTATTTTAGATGCTAGAAAAATTTGAGGACTCTGGTGCATACCCCTCTAAATGTACTCTTAAACTCGGGCCCAAATACACTGGCGATCATAAGTAGTGCAACAAAAAAAAAAATTTACTTAGATCATACTACCTCCCGCAATTCCGGCCATATCGGGTAGTTTTTTTTTTTATTTTATTCACCAATACCAACGTTTTCATCAATAAAAAAAAGAAAAAAATTCAATGAACAAAATTTTTCACGGGCACGAGCTTTATTTCAAATGCCATGTTGCATTACTTTTGCTCATTTTTGCAGCAACACGGCTGTAAACTAAAAAAATTTTTTTTTACAAAAAAAAATAAAAATTTTT